CCAGCCCCTCCCCCCTCAGACCCAGGGCTCTGCATCCCCAGCCCCTCCCCCTCCAGACACCAGCGTCCGTCCGGGCCTTACAGTGACAGTGGCCAGCAGACCCTCTGGTACATTGGCCACGATGATGCCGATGAGGAAGATGACAGCCTCAAGCCAGCTGTAGCCCAGAATGAGGGACAGGATGAAGAAGGAGACACCCAGGAAGACAGCCACACCAGTGATGAGCTGGATGAAGTGCTCGATTTCGATGGCAATGGGCGTCTTGCCCACCTCCAGCCCCGACGCCAGGGTGGCAATGCGTCCCATGACAGTGCGGTCCCCGGTTGCCACCACCACACCCCGAGCGGTGCCTGTGAGCCAGAGAGGATGAGGCCTGAGGTGGGAGTGTGAGCCCACAGCATGGACTAAGGCTGGGGTGGGGAAATGGCCTCAACAAGGCCCTCCGGGACCCCCGTTCCCCCTGAACTTCAGATGGAAGCAGGTCCCCCTTTCTGGACCTGTCTAGGTCCACTCTCCCCTCCCCGGGTGCCCCCACCACGCCTGCCTCACCTTCCACGCAGTTCGTGGAAAAAAAGGTGATATTCCGAGTCTCCAAGGGGTTGTCATGCGTGCAGTCGGGAGAGCGGGTCTGGGGCTCCGATTCGCCAGTCAGGGAGGAGTTGTCCACCTGGGGTGGGGGCGGAGGACGGAGGCTCAGCTGGGGCTGGGGCACTTGTCCATGGGAGACGGGCTAGAAGCCTGGGCTACCCAGGTGGTAAGTGATGTCTGGAAGGCAGAGGCTGGGATCTTGAAGGTGGGAAAGAGGGGAGTGGAGGGCTTCCTGCCAAGGTCTAAAGGATCTATGGGTCTCTGAAGGGTGACAGCTGGTGACTCTGACGCTTAAGTCCTGGTGGGGGGGAGGGTCTGAGGGGGAAGGGGCTGGGGCCTGGACTCCTGGGTCTGAGGGAGAAGGGGGCTGGGGGCCAGGACTCCTGGGTCTGAGGGAGCAGGGGGCTGAGGCCTGGGCTTCTGGGTCTGAGGGAGGAAGGGACTGGGGCCTGGACTTCTGGGTCTGAGGGAGGAGGGGACTGGGGGCTGGACTCATGGATCTTGGGGAGGAAGGGGCTGGACTCTTGTGTCCATGGGAGGGCCAGAGCCGGTACCCCAGGCCTCAGGCTCACCTTGCAACCATGGGCTGAGATGATGCGCAGGTCGGCCGGAACTCGATCTCCACCCTTGATCTCTACTAGGTCTCCAACCACCACCTCCTCAGCATTTACCTGCATCTTCTCACCTTCCCGGATCACCAAGGCTTGCTGGGAGTGGGAAGGAGACATGTCACCTCTGCCCAGGGATCACTCGGCACAGCCCCCCAACCTGTCCATCCCCACCTGACCCTTCCCTGAGCGCCCCTCACCTGGGGAACCATGTTCTTGAAGGATTCCATGATCTTGGAGCTCTTGGCCTCCTGGTAGTAGGAGAAGCAGCCAGTGATGATCACCACGGCTGCCAGCACAATGCCCAGGTACAGCTGCAGGGGGACAGTGGGTCTCTCAGGCCCCGCCCGGAAGTCGCTCCCCACCAGCCCCACCCCGAGTTTCATGGACTCTGGGAAGGGGAGCTTCGTGTCAATGGGGGTCTGTCTTTGTCTGTGTTCGAGCCCAGGGTTGTGTCCATGTGAGGGTCTGTGGGTCTGCTTGAGCCTTTCTGTCTGTCTGTCTGCTTGCCCATGCTCAAGTCCCTCTTTCTGTATGTGGCTGTGTTTGAGTTTTTGAGGCTCTTTCTCTCTCTGTTGTGTGTGTCTGTCTGTCTTCCTGCCTGTGTTAGAGAATCTGGGTGTAGGTTATTGTCTGTCCATGTGTCTGTCTGACTGTCTGCATACCTGGCTTTACATTTACAGGTCTGTTTGTGTTTGAGTTTCTGTGTGTACATCTGTCTCTGTTGGTTTACTATATCTGAGACTCTGAGTCTGTCTGTCTGCCTGTTCAGGTTTAATTTCTGAGAATACTGTCTGTGTGATCCTCCTATCTGTCTGTCATCTGCAACTCTGCATGTGTTTGTCGGTCCATGTTTGAGTGCCTGTCTCTGTCTGCCTACCAGTCTCTGTGTGAGAGTCCGGGTCTGTCTGCATATTTGTGTCTGTGCCTACGTGTGGGAACTAGGTGGCCGTGTTGGGACCGTGTCCACGTGCGGCTGTCTGCTGACTCTCAGCATGTGAGCTTGCATGTGAGGCTCTCTGTAGCTGGGGTGTGAATCTGTGTTTATTGGCTCGGGACTGTCGTGTGTCCACGTGTCCCGTGTCGGTGGGTGCTGACACACGAGCAGGTGGGTGTGCTTGGGTCTTTACGTGGGCACATTCACTCTTCAGGTACCCTTCAGGCCATGACCGCCTGGGGGTGTCTGTCCCCAACACCACTGAGGCCACACAGCTTTGGGTCAGAACCCCAGCTCACCCATCCTGCTGTGTGATCTGGGGCAAATTACTTGCTCTCTCTGAGCCTCAGTTTCCTCATACCTGCTCTGATTCTCTCCCTGGGCAACTGTGAAAGTTGGATGAGAAAAGAGAGGAGAGTGGGCTGTGGACAGCGTACAGAGATGGGGAGACATGAGCACACGTGTGTCCTTAAACGTGTGGCCCGGGGCAGGTGGGTGGAGGGCCCTCACGTTGTCACGAGATGGGTCGTCCTCCGTGCCGGCCTGGATACCGTAAGCCAGGAAGCAGAGGATGGCCCCGATCCACAGCAGGATAGAGAAGCCCCCGAAGAGCTGGCGGCAGAACTTGACCCACTCTGGGGTGGTAGGTGGTGGCGTGAGCGCATTGGGCCCATCTCGGGCCAGGATCTCCTGGGCTTTGCTGTGGGTCAGACCCTGGGGGACACAAGACTCACACAGAACCCTCCCTGAGGAACCCCAGCATTCCACCCCTTCACAAGCATCCCCAGGCCCCAGCCCCTCCTCCCTCAGACCCATGAGTCCAGCCCCCAGTCCCCTCCTCCCTCAGACCCAGGAGTCCAGGCCCTAGCCCCTCCTCCCCTGGACCCAGGAGTCCAGGCCCCAGTCCCCTTCTCCCTCAGACCCAGGAGTTCAGGCCCTAGCCCCTCCTCCCTCAGACCCAGGAGTCCAGGACCCAGCCCCCTTCTCACACAGACCCAGGAGTCCAGGCCCCAGTCCCCTTCTCCCTCAGACCCAGGAGTCCTGGCCCTAGCCCCTCCTCCCTCAGACCCAGGAGTCCAGGACCCAGCCCCCTTCTCCCACAGACCCAGGAGTCCAGGCCCCAGCCCCCTTCTCCCTCAGACCCAGGAGTCCAGGACGCAGCCCCCTTCTCCCTCAGACCCAGGAGTCCAGGACCCAGCCCCCTTCTCCCTCAG